TTTTTCAAGTTGTTTTTGTCATCCAACATACATGAACCTCAATGGAAGATTAAGCTATTATTCAAATAATGTAAACAACTATTCCAATATTTCCATTTGTGATTTAACTCACTAATTTCTTTTGGCATTGGTGTTGTCTGTCTTGCTTGAACTGGTTGTTTTTATAAACCCCTTTGTGTAATCTAATTTACCTGTAAATTTGGAAACTTCAACGACCTCTGTAATTTGATAGCATTTGGTCTGATTTGTTTACAAGTGTAATCGTCAAAACATGACATCTAATTTTTATTACGATGTTTAAAATTTCTCAGACTAATGAAAAATTCAGTCAAAACATGATCCGACTCATGATTAAGGTATATCCCTTTGAAATTAATGTGACTACTCACAAAACAACCAATATGGCCACTGCTGTAAAATAATTAATGGTTAAAATTAACAATGCTACATGCTGTCAAGCTTCAGAATAAATGCTGTAAACCAACATTTATTTGGGATTCGCATATAATTAAAATAACGTGAAAATAAATCGTCGCAAATATGTCAATCTCATATGTTTTCTTCAAATGAAATAATCAACATTATCAACCCTGAAAACAATTTGTTTTAAAGTTGTCTATTAAAGGTTGGCTGCGAAATAAAGTATGCACGATACAAAGCAGGTTTACAGTAAACTCCATATAGAATTGTAGTTTAAGACCTTGAAAGCAGACCACTAATATCACGTTATTAGAAATAAAAAAATAAAGGTCAAGCTTTATATAGCTTTTCGTAACTTGATTGGTCATGACAATCACAACCAAAAATGGTCACCTCTATAGCTAAAATTATAAACCTGTTTTCAGACTCCGAACTATCTTTATGGCATCTCCTTTAAAGGTTTTTTTTTTAGAACTTCTTGCATTTCAAAATATAAAGTACAAATGTATATAGCTAACAAATACAAAACTTAAAAAATCTTCAAAATCCTGTTAAGATGTATTGCTATTAAATTTAGAAAGTGATTCACAAGTACTGATAAACCATGGCAATTTTGGACAAAGTTTGTATCACAGTACAGTCCTTCATACCATTTCTTTTGGATTTATAGTTTGAGAACTGTCAATTGTTAAAGAGGGTTGAGCTAGTTTTTTGAACTCTCAACCCTACCCCCCATGAATCTTAATCTGTGGACTAACAACATGTGCGTAAAAGGAACATACAATAACAATGTAATACCGTATACAAACATATTTAAACAGTATCTGTGTAATCCTGTAATATTTATAATCAAAACATGAAAAGCAACATTGAACGTCCAAATTTTTATTATTTTTCTTTTAAGAATACATGAATCCCGCCGATTGTTATTTTTTTTGGATAAATGGTTATACCCTCGCTTTAAAAAAGTGGGGGTATACTGTTTTACCTCTGTCTGTCCGTCCGTCCCATGAATATTTTTCGTCGCATCTTTCTCAGGAACTACATCATAAGGATTTCTGAAATTTGGTTTCTGGGTTTATATAAGTCAGCTTTACCGTGTGATGCGTTTTCAGATTCATCACTCAACAACTTCCTGTTTACCGAACACTTACATATTTTTACTCTATTAAAATTATCCAGTTGCGGCGGGGGTATCATCAGCGAGCAGTAGCTCGCAGTTTACTTCAGCTTACTTCAAACCAATAATCTCCGACAAAGTCAAGTGCCGCATATTATTTTCAATATCAAAAACGTCGGCAATACGTTGACAGACTGCTACGACAGATGATTTGTTTTACAAAATGTTCGACATTCTTCAAAACACTTGTCTTCTGCAAAATACTTTGGTGCAGATTATTTTTAAAACTATAACTTACATACTTCGTATTTGATTTTCCCTTCAAAATGTTTTGATTCGAGCGTTACTGATGAATCTTATGTGGACGAAATGCACGTCTAGCATACAAAATTATAAACCTGATATTTAAGCCAGATTACCCTTAAATTATTTGACAAAACCTTTGGGCCAACACTGCTCTTCAACTTCTTTATTTGGCCTTTTTAATTTTTTTTTATTCGAGCGACACCGATGAGTCTTTTGTAGACGAAACGCGCGTCTGGCGTACACAAATTTTAATCCTGGTATCTATGATGAGTTTATCTTTTATGACTTTGCAATATTTGTTTTTCTGTTGAAAATTATCCCCGAAAAGCACCTAAGGTGAACTACATTTATAAAGTGTAAACCTAATTATTATACTTTATCTTTGTATAACCTCTGTGTCGATGTCACTGTCGGTAGACGTTTCATCTCCAAAGGTACCATAAGTCCAGATGTCAGCACTTTGGTGTTGACATGGAATATCATTGACAAGTTACTATATTATAAAATTACTGTTTACAAAATGCTCAATTCTTCAAAACACTAGGGGTTTTCTACCACAGAGAAAATATATAGTCTTAACTAGATATACATAACGTTTCAGAATTTTTGGTTCAATGAAACTTGCGTACATATTTTTTTTAGCAATTTGACCCTCGGAATTTTAAAATTACAAAGACAAATAAGGACACCATTGTAAGTACGTACTTCGAAAAATATATGTCATATAGATGATGGTGATTAAATTCTCCAATGAAATTGATAAAAATGAGTGAAAACCAAAATATGTTTGTCAATCGATTATGTTTGTTAATCACTGACAAACACATCAAATGTTTTATTTAATGCGAATGCAGATAATCAATGATCCCGGCCGATAGTTACTTTTACAGGAATTTCAAAAAATGTGAAGGAAGTTTAAAGAATTGCAATTTTCTTTGCATAATTAACCTCTTAATTTGCGAATGATTTGGAACTATTGTATTTTGTTTTATAAGTTTCATATAATATTCGGAAATTTTTTTAAGATTCATGTTGTCTTCCAGAATAAAGTTAACTCATTTTATTAAAGATGTTCTTTGCTGCAAAATTTAAAAAAAAGCTTGTAGGAATTTTGTATAAGAATCGTCTTCAACAACATTGTGTAGAACTGAAAAGTGTTTTGATTTAACAGAAATTGAAAGTATTTCAACGACGAGACAAAGGTTCTTTGATGTCAATTCCAGTAGGCTTTTTAAAAGAACTTTCTAAATGTTGACCCTGGGAGGGTAACATATACAAGTGAATTTGGTCCTGCCTCTTTTGTATCTACAGAAATATTTCACTGTAGTACTGAAAAATAATTTCTTTTTAATCGATGAAATTTTAATATCGCAAAACAATGTTAAAAGTGTAAAAATTAACAGAGAATATGAGTCGAAGGTTTGAGAAAAAGTGCCATTTACATTGTTATCACATTTCCATGTAATGTTAAAATATCAAATATCAATTTATTTTGTAAAGATCCATAAGTTACTTTCGTCACCTTTTCTCTGTTGTTTCTACCCTTTCAACATCGTTTTTCAATGAAAAAAAAGTTGTGATTGATTGTCATCTAATGGCGAGAAATTCCATCTCTGTTAAAACACCAAGACATACAGTTTTTGTTTATATAACAAGTGACAAACATTAAACATCTGTCAGTAAAGGAATACTGTTAATTAGTTCTTGAATAAAAGTTTCTCATTAAGTCTCTAGTATTTGCTGCATATAAGGTCGCAAAATATCGGACACATTACGAATGAAATTTCCTCTAATTTGTCGAATTTGTAATTAAATACGTTTACCTCAGACATAAAAGATTGTTTTGAAAAAAGGTCAATGTTCTTTACTGTGTTTGAAATAATTAACAAAAAAAAAAAAATTAAAATCTAAATATCAATTAATTAAAATCAATTGATGAATATTCTTGGCGATTTAGTACGCATTCATAGTACCAGAAATTATCAATATACTTATAAATAAGTATACACATCTCCTTATTTTATATGTTTGATTAATTACCCATTTTTTAAATCATTTCTTATATTTATGTACAGGTAGATTGTATAATACTTGTCATGTGACAAATCGTTAGCTCATTAAACAAATTTCAAATGTCCATCCTCTTAGTCCAATTGATGTTTACACTGTGAATTACTTGTAATAAATGACACATCATCACTGCAATAATCTATCTATAATTTAAGACATACCAGCGTCACGTGTGCAGATTGTCGGCCCTCCTCTGCGTCCAGTTTAAACAATTTATTGTTTAATGATAAAACAAATAATTCCCTTTGCACATTCAAATAATAAATATCGATTATATTGTATTATTCAGCTGTAGTTTCCATTTACAGTTGATTACTCATTATAATTATGTCTATTTATTGATAAAAAGTTTTTAATGAAAAAAGTAATCGATTATATAGATCTTTTATATTATAAATGTAACTAACACGTATATATATCAATACACAGTAATTCCAGAACATGAAATAAAAAATGAAAATTTTAAGGAAGAAAAGAAAAAAAAACCCACATGAATGGAAAGACGACAAAATCCGTAAATTAGATTAATCAAAAATATGATTTTCCTTAATCAAACAAGAGTACCCGAAATAACCAGAATTTATTGAATCAAAGAAAATAGCATTGCTAATGCCTTTAGTTCTGTGGTATATTTTGGTCTTTCTGTTGTGTTCTGTGATATATTTTGGTCGTTCTGTTGTGTTGTGTGGCATGCTGTGGTAAAAGGACATTCTCAGACTTTTCTACTTTCAGACCTTCTCCAGATTCACACATGGTTTGACACATGCTTTGACATCCGAGCTTCTGGAAAAAATCATGCTTTGACATCTGAGCTTTTTTGAAAAATATATGTTTATCTTCGGTGCATGTGTTCCGACATACTATGTGCTATCTCAACTGTTTACAGCTGAGTTTATTTTACAAACATCGTTGTTAATTACCATGTTATCTTTTCAAAATTATATTTCTTTGTATACTCGACCAATGGGAATTGTTTGAAGGAGGGGCTTGATAAGTGCCAACGTGACTTTTTTTAAAAATAGCCTAACGTCATATGTATATATTATATGACACGTGGTTTGTGCTGTGGTCTTTACAAAAGTTAGAACTGTGGCCGTTGGATGTCATTGTATCAAATTTAAACAGAATGGAAACAAGTGAATATTCAATGTATGATTCTCTCATGGACAAACATTCAGCAAAGAGAATAAAGCTGGAGATTGCAGAAAGGTAAGATAATGTTATTTGTTTTGATTTTTACGTTGCCATCCTTATAATTCATAACAGAACATGCTATCATGCATGGAATATTGGTTTCGCGTTTTTCTCATTTCTAAAAGGACGCTTAGACACTTATTTAAAAACATGTCTTATTTCATAAGTTCCATAACTATTATATTTATATGTTTGAAATTTGAAGCTGAAAATAAGCACGTGTCTCAACACATTGGAAGTCCGAGGTGCTCAAATGGATATCCTGACGAAGTAGGAAAAAAAACTGGACAGTTTTAATCCAATTATTGACGAAGCAAATACACATGATGTTACCTAAAATGTGATTTCTTGACACTTACGCTAATGCCAGAAAAACCTTTTCATGAGAAACGTTTTGACTTCTGAGACGATTTTTAAAGTTACTTAATTTTAAATAAGCATTCCTGTACAGGTGCTCTTTATTCTTTGTCAGTGTTTGAAATAAATCAAAACCACGATGCCTGTTTGAGCTGCATAAGTTTTAAATTTAGAAAGCCGGCCACTAAAATGGGCCAAGTTTCACGTTGAATAGCACGGGAGATTAGCTATTTGAATATCATGTCTCAAGTTTCATCAGATGCGTTCTTACTGATTTTCCTAAATTTGATACTACCAAGTAAGGTTGAGCTCTAGTTTTACACATTGGAAACTTCATGGGAAAGAACCTTTGGTACTTGGTATCAGTTGTCGACTTCACGCAATAAACTTTTGAAAATGCTCCATTTTTATGGTAAGGCTTTGGTGCTTAGGTAGCTTGGCTACACGTATTTTGTAAAATGATAAAAAAAATTGTCCATATCATCTAAAACAAAATTCATAACTAAGAATAAATCGTTGTCTATGGCTATGTTAGCACTTCATTTTTTTTTCGTTTGTTAATCATCAATCTTAAGTTGACATTTTCTAGGTCAAAATAATGATGCTGATTAAAAAAAATTACAAGTTACTACTTTCCAGAATCAATAATTGGTTTAAAAGAAAAAAAATGTTGGAGTTATTTTCACTATTTTTACCATTTTTTCTCTTTATGAAAAAAAAAATCGACGTGAATGCATCTGCAGTTTTGTGTATAGATTGCTCCGCCCCTATTTTTGTCATGCTTAAATGATAAATGAGGTGATTTTCTTAAGAAATAGTTTATAATATCATGAAATTGTGATTATCAGTTTAATTCAATATTGGTATTGTTTTAACAGGCCTTTGAACTTTGCAATTTCACCAGATGAACGTGAGATCCAGTCAGTAAAAAAGACAAAAATGCAAAGGGTAAGATTTTCATACTGTATTGTGTGTGATAAATCTGATTGGTACTAGTAAGCTTGAGAATGCAAACAAACTAACTGGTGTGTCAACATTTAAATAAGTCTAAGAAGCCGACCCTGAATATATTTTGTAAAAGAAGGGAAATGACGTATTAACTCATGACATAAAATTCTTACACGCAATTGGCAAAGCGTTATGCAACGGAACAGAACTGTTTTTCATCTAAAAATATTGTTACCTAAACAACGGAATAAATTACATGACGGGATAGTAAAACAATTGAATCATTAGGTTCTAACTAGAATACTTGATAGATGAAGGGTACTGTAGAACAGTATGTAATGCGCATCTAAATTGAAATCGTACATTTAATTACTACCACTTGTTTGATATTGTTGCCAATGCCATTCCTGTACCTAAGGGTTTCTGTACTGTAATGAGGACAATGATACATGTTAATCTTCTGTTTGTTAGTTATTTTATTGTACTAAAATAAGGTTGAAACTCTCTTTGAAAAAACTCGACTTTGCAGTTAGAACATACATGTCCGATGAAGACCCAACCAATGTCAACTGACTTAGAGGACCGGCTGCCAAACCAAATATTTTATGGTAAATAAACTCATCATAGATACCAGGTTGAAATTTTGTATTTGCGCCAGACGCGCGTTTCGTCTACAAAAAACTCATCAGTGACGCTCGAATCAAAAAAAGTAAAATAAGGCCAAATAAAGTACGAAGTTGAAGAGCATTGAGGACCAAAAATTCCTAAACGTTTTGCCAAATACAGCTAAGGTAATCTATTCCTGAGGTAAAAAAAGCCTTAGTATTTCGAAAATTAAAAGTTTTGTAAACAGTTAATTTATAATTAAGACCATGTCATTGATAATTCATTTCAACACAGAAGTGCTGACTACTGGGCTGTAAACTACTATGGTAAGCGTATGTGAAAAATATTATAAAATTGACATTATCATTGGTTATTTTAGGATCCAATGTCGCACAGAATCATAGAGAAGAGGCGACGAGATCGCATGAATAACTGCTTGGCAGAACTCAGCCGGCTTATCCCACGAAGTTATTTGAAACAGGTAGAATACTTAATTACTTTATTCTTATTTATTTGAATTTAAAACTTTATGTTGATATGAGTATGTTTAAGGTAATTTTGTCAATAGAGATTATTGCTCTTAATTTCTTTATTACAACTTTTTGCGGGGTACTTTGATTTCGTAGATTTTTTTAGTGTGCATTCAAATACTAATGTCTTATTGCCTTGTCTGCAGAATTTGTCAAAACCAAGAAATCAAATATCAACGAAAAATGAATTATTCCTCAATCCTCAGAAATAAGAAAATGTAATTATATAAATGAATCAAAAATAAATCGTAAATGTTAACCTAAAATTAGATTCCAGAATATATTTCAGGGTCAAGGTCGTCTTGAGAAGACAGAGATTATAGAAATTGCATCCAAGCTTATACGAAACCTGTTGAACTTGCATAATTTCAGAGGTATTAAAATTTTTTACAATTTATGTATCTAATAGTTTCAGTGCAACATAAGAGATGTGATATTTTGCAAAAAATGAGTTTCCATCGGTCAAGCAAGATATTTTGCTCCTTCTCAAAAGAAAGAGGAATTTTAACATTCTGATTTTAACATTTTTTTGTCACGGGATTTTATGAATAAGTACTTAAAATAAACCATTGATATTCAGTGATTTGTCACATCAGTAATTATGTTCTCAAACAGCAGTGTAGGCATTGACTGGGTATTTCATTTGTTTTAATCCAAATTTTAATTGGGGATGTTTTACTGTTTTTATCCAAATTTTAAACGGGTCATTTTATTGTTTTTTAATGGGGACTGGGTATTTTATTTGTTTTTATCCAAATTTTAATTGGAGATGTTTTACTGTTTTTATCCAAATTTGAAATGGGTCATATTGTTGTTATTTTAACAGGGACTGGGTTTTTATTTGTTTTTATCAAATTTCAAATGGTGATGTTTTACTGTTTAATCCAAATTTTAATTGGGGATGTTTTCTGTTTTTATCTAAATTTTAATTAGGGATGTTTTTATCTAAATTTTAAACGGGTCATTTTATTGGTTTATCAACATTTTAAATGGGGTGTTTTAACCATGGATAGATGTAACTATGATATACTAGTCATGGTCTTTCAGTTCTGTAAATAAGTCATTTTTTTTTTACATATATCAACATGTTGATAGTAGCATTTGCTTTAATCATTCCAATACTTCTCCATCAATAATGTCAGAATAATTGGAATAAATGTCAACTTATTGAATAGGCCGACTTCTTTTATAAAGCAGACGCTTCCGCGTCCTTGAAATATTTTTGAATCGCAAAAAATGCATCCTATTATATACCTTGTACCAAAATATCTTTTTTGATAAGGCTCATCTACAAATTAAGGACACAGTCTCAAACTTTGGTCATTTTGTAAGCTTTGTCAGTTTTAAATTGGATGCAAAAAGTTTGAAGACCTTAAGAAGAAATATATTACAAATGTCTAAAATACTGGTACTGATACTTGACAGACTTGATGTCGTCTTATGATCATCCGAAGGACATTATTTAATAGATTGATAATACCGTTGTATTAATGAATTCAAGCGACTGAAAGCAGGTAGTCTTGGCATTCCTTCTTCTTTTTGTATTGTTCTTATCAAACATCCTATATACAACCTAGAAAATTATTAATTGACAGTTATTGCATTGGAATAATTATAGAAATGATGGAAAAAGAGTTATTGTCGGATTGTGGTGGAACAAACCCATGCTGTCAAGAAAAATTTTACATGGGATTTAAAGAATGTCAAGAGGAAATACTGCGACATTTAATAGACACAGAAGGGGTTGATCTTAAAGACGACTTCTTTCAGAGAATTACAACTTTTTTAGATCAGAGCAGTAAGAAACATCTTAGATTATCAACAGGTAGGAATCATTGTTATTTGTGTTGCGAAATGTCTATGATATTTAGCTCACCTTTCCTAAAGGGTCAGTGTAAACTATGTCATATCTCAAATTTGAAAACAACACTTTATAAATTTCATGCGTGCGAAGAAGAAAACTGCATTTTCATGAAGAAGTATGAGGTCAAAGATTAAGTCAAAAGTAGTTCAACTGAAACAAACTTCATCATGTTGTTTATACAATTATAGGTCAAATATCATCTGATCATAAACAAAGAGTGCTAACAGCAAATAGTTCTAAAATTACATGGTTTACACAAAGTTAAACTGAACAAAAGTTAAAAGTAATCCGTAACTTCTTATCACAATAACCCTAACGTTTTTGATCGATAAAGATATGAGCCAAAGGCCTTACCGAAAAATATATTTTACAGATCCATTTGAAACTAATCAATGGAAATGGAATTCAAAAATCCACTTTGGCATATTTTGTTTTATCTGGTTTCTCTATTAATACTTATTTATACACAAAATATAGTATGGAGAAAATTGCATTTAAAAATAAATGATTAAAGATAGATATTCATAAAGCAACTGAACAATTGAAAATAATCTACGTAAAGATATGTGATTGGTATTTTAAAAGCATTACTTTTAATATTTGGCCCCGGTAGTATTTTTAAAAATAAAAGTGAAAATGATTGATTTATTGTTCAGGAGACTTGGGGTCAATTACATTGGAATGTAATTAATTAAATTACACATTACATTGCAAAAATGATCAATTACACTAATTACACATTACACAGTTTTTGAAATGTAATTAATTAAATTACAACTACTTTACGAAAGTAATTAATTAAATTACACATTACATTTCATCATAACTTTAATAAACAATATATAACATGTATATATATATAGCAAGTGTAAAATATTCATGTAAGCTTACAACATAGTTTTAGCATTGCATTTGATCATCATTAGTATTTTTAATGTTTTGTCATTTAGTCTGCATCTCTCTGGTCTGAACACTTTGTTTCGACAGGAGCTGATGTGGCAGGTATTGCTTGATCATAAGATGTGTTGATAGAAGAGGGAATATTTTCTTATTAACAATGATTAACTTGCCAATACATTAAGGGATATTTTGACAACCCAGAAATGAAGCCATTTAATTAAACATAATATAGATAAATAATTTTTTTTTTAAATCCATGTTTTTTTTACACCACAAGTATTCAAAAGTATGCTTGTCACAATATTGAAAATAATTTTTAGTACAAAAAATGTGAATGAATGAATGTATTATGTCTAAATATTAGCAATATTTTGCTAATTAGATAACATACATGTAATAGTGGCATTGTCCCTAGGCTGTTTTATTACACATTTAGTCTGATTAATTGCCATTTGTTTTTACAGCTGATAATTTATATTTCTATAATCCCTATGTGCATACTAATTTGACAAAATGATTGTGTGCAGTGATTTAAAATTCTAAATGAACTGTCTAAGAAAGATTTACACATTTGTTAAACCATACATACATGTATTGATGGTATGTATATACATGTTATCAATCTATTTAGATAAAGATCTTTCTTAAAAACTGAACAACACCAATATATGATTCTCACATTTTTTAAGTTAAAAGACTAGTTAGGAAACATTTCTGTATGTCAAATAAATAATATTTATATTAACACAATCTCTATCATTAACACCATAAAAGTACATGTAATTGAAATGTAATTCAAAAGTAATTTAGCATTACATGCTTTTTTCAGTGTAATTAATTAAATTACCATTACATGTAATTAAAAAAATGCTCAATTACACATTACATTCAATTACATGGAAAATTGTAATGCATTACACTTAATTACCATTACATTTTCAATTACCCCATCCCTGGATTTTTGGTGTTTAAACACTTTGAACACTCTTGACTATATCTTAGCGGTCAGTTTTCATTGGAAGTGGAAGTGGGAGTGACAGGAGGGAACCACCGACCTTGGACTTGAAAATCCTAGTAAATTATGATTGGAGTCGAACACACCTGCCATGTGAGGGGTTCGAACTCGACATAAGTCTTCACAGGCTAGTGATACTGTAGATGAACTATTTAGACAACTTGGTCATCGATGCCCCATTTAACTGTTTTTGAGCGCTCAAGCTTTCCGAATATCGGACAGTTTCAAACTAGCAAACCAAAACAACAATCCGTAAAAATCAGTTTGCAATGAATTGACTTGTCAGATTGACATGAAGCACAAAACACAACTTACGTAAAGACAAAATATACAAAGTACCGATCTAAGAGAACTCGCAGTTACCGTAAACCATTTCAGAGCCGACATACAACTAAAAAAACATAATGGGCTTCCAGACTGAGATATCAAAAAAAGGCACCCAACGGATTTAGTGTAAAAACGTCATTGAAAGGCCGTGAAAAGCATAACCTTTTGCAATGCAAAAATATAAGTACAAAATTTCGGATAAATGACCATAATATTGAAATAATAATTGCCAAACATTTTTGTTACCCCAGATTTCGAAGTTAAATGAAAATGAAAATGTGATAGTGGGAATAGGGCATAGCAGCCTATGGATAAAATTCTTGTTTTATAAAAAAAACTATTTCACTGCATCAAACACAATAATTCAAACAATAAAACATATATCGTAATGTATTACTAATAACGAGAAATGAAGTGAAATAGGTTATTGCCAGCTCATATAAATAAGTGAAAATTTGCGATATGGTCTAGAATGGTAATTTCCATTTTTAACAATATACGTCTTTTTCACATTTTGCAATTCTCTTCTAATAAAGCTGTTTTCAGGATGCATTTTGTTCTTTCAAAATGACGAAGCTTTTTTTTTTCTACGACTCAAAATCATAGATCTGTGCTATATAGCTAACACCAAAAGGTAATAAGGTAACACAGCTGTATGGATGCACATAAACCCTACTGATAATTCTAATATTTCTCCTTTGTGGAAGCATTGTATTATCTATATCGTTCTTAATTTGCTAGAATGACATGCCTTTAACTTTAACTAATACTAGTAGTCGTCTGAGTCTGTGTTATGATCTGTGGCTGTTTATTTTAGTTTTAGTTCATATATTTATTTTAACTAGACTTTTGTTAAATACATTTTCACCATGTGTCACCGTCTGAACAATAGTCTGTAATATAGTGTACATGTCACTGAGTGTAAAACTAATACTCTAAATTCCATATCGATTACGACTTCTTCTTCACAGTCTTAGGCATAATTGAAAGTCATTTAGAAAATTCCATGACCAGTTATTCTATAGTTTATCTGAATATCTTAACAGGTATATATGAATTGGGATGAGCCATTTAAAAACTGGTGTTGCAATTTTCAAAATAATCTTCGGTTTTATTTCAGATTGGTTGAACAGTCAATACTATTAATTACATAGTGTGCTGGTGACCTAATACGATATATATGGGGTCAATTAATTCCATATGTATTAGGTCACTAGCACACTATGTAACGAATTTATCTTACCGACTATCTTAACATGTGGTATTTAGACTAGTGGCCTATCACAGTTGTCAAGTCTTCATTTCCGTTAGTATTAAGAACATACTTCCATTGGTCTATACAAAAAGAAATGCCAACAATAACAACTTGTTAGCTTTAAATGTGTTTTATGAATTTATTTCAATCATTCATCATCAATTTCTTCGTCTGTTGAAACCTTTAAGATTTTTCCTCAACACCATGTTGTTTTTATAAAGGGACGTAACACCACTACAAACCGTGTATTGAAATAAGCCCCGCCTACTAACCCAATATGGAACCCTACTAACCCAATATAGAATATACACGGTCTCCACGCGGTTGCTTTTAACCAATCATATTCCTAGAAATGTATAGGTGGGATAAGTAATGTTTTAGTACTAGTTTTTCACTAATGTTCTGCATGATAAATGTTTGACATTGTAAAAGCAATGGTTTTGTCTTGGATGTTACACGAATAGCGTTATAACCTTAACTACGATGAGGCTTTGAAATATTATACTTGTGTAATCAATCAGTGTTCATTGTTTAATTATTGATTTTTCTAGAAGATTTTGGTGAGTTTTGATTGTTGAGTATCCAACATGTCCAATTTGCTTCCCAACAAATAGGATTATGCACATGTTTTTTTTTATATTTATATAAAAGATATGTAGTATATTTTATTACTTAGTAAGCATATTCGAAATAATCATCTAATTGTTTGATTTCTTATCTTGAACAGAAACTACGGAAGTGTCATGTGCTCCTGGTGCATCAGTTTAATTTGATTTTTTTTATGTATAATATTAATAAACAAGTTTCTATTTATTTGATAATTTTTAATACTTAAAAGTGTTGCTAATTATGAATAAAAAAGAATTTAAAACATCTTAAGATTAATAAACACGACATGTCAAGATGAACTTGTGTCTAGGATAATGATGTAGGAAATTTTTCTCTCTCCAATTTTACACTTACCGGTAGTACATTCATTTCATTTAGTTGTTTTATTTTGTAGTAAAAACTGCATCTGATGTCCAAGATGTAAAGACTAATGATTCTTTGACGTCAGAAGCACCAATTTCAAATTTAAGCTCACAGAGCAATGGCCAAATGCTAAAAGTCATGGGAATTTCAGAAAACAACATGGCCATGATAAAACAGGATGAACATTTTTGTACCTTGCTGAAGCGAACAGAACAAACATCCAGTCGAACATCAGGATACAGCAGCATCAGAAGCCAGTCATTGTCAGAAGGAAGTGTATCATGCATTACACTGCAGTCGGTTCAGGGAGATACAGCAGAGCAAGAAGAAAGTAACGGGTCTCCAGGCAGTTTATGCTCCAGTGAGGAGAATTCATTCGAAGGCAGTAATGGCAGCAAGATTGATTATCACAAGTCACATGCTTACAAATTTAAGCACAATATAACAAAAAGGTTTTCTAAAGAAAGAAGTCCTTGGCTTCCCAAAAGTGATAGATCATCAGATTCAATGGAGGATGAAAATGAACAAGGAAAGCAACAAATAATAAGCTATAGTACTTCTAGCCCTAGCACTGAATACAGTCAATATTTAGGATCTGAAAATAGTTCTACAAATAGTTGTTGCAAGAAAAATAAAATTCCACGTTATCAGAATGATTTTGGGAAGGATGGTCGTTTTGATTCAAAACAGGTGCCTCTACCCGCCTTTGTACTTCATCCTCTTGGGACACATTATGTTCCCGTAACAATACCTCCTACACATTTCAAAAGTGTGTTTGAAGACGATGCCAAGGGATCAACAGCATATCATCCCATTAGTATCCCTGTAAATTTCTGTGGTCCAAGTGTTTCCATACATACACAGGTAGAACATCAGCTAAGATGTGCCTCAGAAGGACAGAAAGAGGAAAGATGTATTGAAAATTCAAAGAAAACGTCATGACTTTAAAAATCGAAAGATTTTTATGCATATTTTTGTAACAACGATTGTGGTTATATTAAAAGATACATACTGTTTTCTTCCGAAAATGTACCAAGTCGTTCCGTTGGTAGATATTGTCGAGCGTTTGGTTTTCGTCAGTTTAATGGACTTTCCCTTTTTGAATTTAACTGGACGTTCGGTATTTTTGTAAATACATTTATAAATGTTTTATTTACACTACTTTTGTGTTGTGAAAAGGAATTGTTTGTGAAACATATTTTCAGCTTTATGATGTTCATGATTATATCTTAAGTGATGAAATAGTTTTGTTTATGCAATCTTGCTCAACCACAAGTTTCATCCTCATTTTTTTCCATTTTGATAATAAAAAAAAAAAGAATTGAATGATTCTTTACTAAGTAAATGTACAATTTATTTTATCAATACTGCATATTTTTATTATTTACTCACTTATTCAGTAAAACTTTTATTTGTTCCAATAGCCGAACGATTTTAAATACTCACAGGTCTCTAACAAATACTGCTGATTTCAATTCAATTTTATGATGAAACTTCGTGAAACATGCAAGGAGTGTTGTGTCAGATTTGTTGTCTCGCCTGGGAAACAAAGTGATTCTTATCCAGCGGTGGTGTAAACTATTTGTATAAAGCAGAAGCTAATAAAAGAGAGGCGGAAGATACCAAAGCGATATTTAAACTCACAAATCGAAGAAAACAGACGTCTCCATGGCACAAAACGACGAAAAGACAAACAACAGTATAAAAACACAGTATAGAAAACAAATGACTGAGAAACACGGACTTCACCCAAAACCCGGGTGATCTCAAGTGCTCCGGATTGCTAATCATAAAATATTTCACATTTGGCACCCGTTGATGACCTGGGTACTTCATATCATGTATATCATATGTACATTTTCTTTGACCTCAAATTGATAGTTCAGCGAGCGTTTGAAAAATTGTTGTGTTTTATCTAATGAAATTCTCACTTATAATGAGTATAAGAATAACTACATTTAGTTTATTATCTCTCCGTTATCTAGACAAATATGGAGGTTTATCAGGCCTTATTATAAATTTAGACAAGACCAAGGTTTTTTGGATTGAAAATAAAAAGTTTAGCAAAGATACTATGTGTGTAAAATATTTGGAATGTCATTCCAGCAGATTTCTCCGTGGATCTTATTGAAAATTTAAACTATGATTCCAAGATCAAAGAATGCTATATGTACTTTCTTTCAAAGTAAACGTTGTTTGTTTGGCAATCATATTTTGTTCTGTATCAAGCTTGTTTAGCTGTGTTTATTACTAAGTTCTTGCATTTATTAATTGAAGGTTGTTTATTTAATAGTTGTTACTTTTTTGTCTATGTAATATATTATTCCTTATGATTGAAATAGTATGCATAAAATGTATATAACTATTATGTTTATGTTCAAATAAAAGAAATTCGTTATAAAAAAAGTTCTATTAGGCACCCTTACAGGGTATTTATGTTCGTACGAAAGGGTTCATCTGACCTTAATATCACTTCAATGATATAACTGGTCAAGGTTTTGTTTTTTCTGGTATAAACTATTTCTAAGATATTATAAGCAATATGCCAACTTTATTTAGTGAATAGAATGATTGTAAGGTGCATATGTCCGTCTGCCAGGGTTCACCTGACCTTAACCTCATTTTCATGGTTCATTGAATCAAAACATAAAACAAGATACAAATGTAGGACAACTTTATCGAAAGGTTGCAAGGTGAACGTGGTTAAATAAGTAATTATAGTAACGGCTTTGTTGAAATGTCAATTTTTACCATTTATGAGTGCCAATTGTGAAGTAGGTTCATTTATATGTTTCGGAGTCTAGTGTGACGTCAATTTTCACTGAAGTAGTACACATTTTTGTTGAGGGATCAGCTGAAGCCCGCTTACGGGTGCGGGATTTTCTCGCTGTGTTGAAGACCAATTGGTGGCCTTGGGCTTTTTTTGTGCTCTTTGGTCGGGTTGTTGTCTCTTTTGCACATTCCCCGTTTCCATCCTCAATTTTAGGATCTACTTACCTTCCTGAGCACCCGAGATTAACCCGGTTTTTATTGACTTGATAAAATGGTACATGTAACATTTTATACAACAGCGAAGAAGGGATGTGTTGTATTAATTCATGACATAAAATCCATACACGCACAAAATCCAAAGCAAAGAAACGGCGCTTTAATTGGCGTTTTTCATCTCAAGGTTAAAGTAAGGACGCCAAGACAGAGCAAAATATCACATCTCGCAGCATGTTAATTAACATAAACACAAGGAAAGTTATATTGTATGGCTAAGGTTTAAATGAGAGAAAAACGGAACAGGGCATTTTATCATTGTCATGTTGGTTTGCAAAACATTTTACTATTTAGTTTACGGTTTTCTCTGTGTAATGCATTCCAATATTACGAATCATTTGCGCCAACATGCCAATATTCTGACATCCCATTATCTGAAAACCTCATATTAAATGCTACACCAAAATTAGTCGGAATATCTGAAATGTCCTACATTCTTGGAAAGAAACAGAGTTTTTACTGTTGTACTTGCATGAAGCCGGAAAACATGCTGCATAAGCGGTTCGACTTGAAAGCAAGTCTTTGACTGCCTTAGCATTCTGGAAATTAGTAAATATATATATTTAGTAAATATATCAATTTAGACTTGTTTATATTTTTTCGTTTGGGCTTGTATTATATTTTCCTTCGGGTTTATATGATCCGTTCATCCTTTTTCGGCTCTTCAAAATTCAAGAGTCTATTCTAAATTGAGGTAAATAATATGGCCTCCTTTGTTTTGCATGCACGAGTATAAAAATTGCAGTTTTTATCCAATGCAATCATAGGTTTGAACGTTGTTTTCAATTTAGATTTGTTCGAACGTTGTTTTCAATTTAGACTTATATAAGTCTAAATTAAAACAACGTTCAAACCTATGATTGCGTTGGATAAAAACCGCAATTTTTATATGTGTGCATGCAAAACAAATTTCTTGGTAGAGGGGTCTAAATACAGCACAAACAACATTTTCCAAAAGACAAAAAAAGTGAAAAAGTATATTTTAACAAAACGCATTTGACTAGCAGACCGAACAACTGATGTTCTTAAACCCTGCTGACTGCCATTGGCGACTGCCAAATAAACGTATCACCAGATGTAACAAAATGGATCTTATAATAATTTATTACCAAACAGAAAACAATAAACTTGCGGAAAAGATGGTTTACCGCAAACATGAAGTGCAAAAATTTGTACACCATATCCGGATTTCGACAATGAATGTCTCTTCAGTGATGTTAGGAATCGAAACGGTATTTGGAAGACCATATAAATATATAAGTACGTCTGAACCAGTGACAACTCTACAACAGATTTATCCATCGGATCACCAGCAGTGATGGTGATACATGGCTGTGTACATTCTGTATATACAACTCGTCTAAACATCATCCCAACAATGTTAGATCTGTAAATTTGCTTTCGCAAATTTTAGTTCTTCCCTCGCCGGGATTCGAACTCATGCTACTGAGATATCGTGACACCAAATCGCCTGCACTGTATCCGACGCGCTAGACCACTCGACCACCTAGGCTTCACTAAAATAAAGCTTTCGGTGGCATGGTGTTACCTTTCCTCGTCAGTTTTAATCTAGCGTCGTAATACAGTACATGATATATAAGGCTTGACGATGGAATTGTTACAGATCAGCTGAAATATCTATTGTAAAGGATCCTACAAATTAATGCTAGGTACAGTCACAGAAATATTTATATTTATAAGTACGTCTGAACCAGTGACAACTCTACAACAGATTTATCCATCGGATCACCAGCAGTGATGGTGATACATGGCTGTGTACATTCTGTATATACAACTCGTCTAAACATCAGGCGAACAATGTCAGATTTGTAAATTTGCTTTCGCAAATTTTAGTTCTTCCCTCGCCGGGATTCGAACTCATGCTACTGAGATATCGTGACACCAAATCGCCTGCACTGTATCCGACGCGCTAGACCACACGACCACCTAGGCTTCATAATAAAGCTTTCAGTGGCCGGGTGTTACCTTTCCTCTTTAGTTTTAATCTAGCGTCGTAATACAGTACATGATATATAAGGCATGAAGATCACGGCCGACACTCGGCTAACCGAGAGATTGGTCGGTTAATCTATATTGAGTATGCGGCTATATGGGCGGTTGGTCTGTTAATCGGGTCGGTTATACGTCTGTTAAAAGTAAAACGCACAATTTAAATGTTCAACTCTGTTAAATATACAGATTTTTGGCATATTATAAGAACCAAATAAAAAAAAAGAAAAGTGTCTGACAAAATGATATTTATCATAGAACATTTTCCACCTGTAAAAACATTTCATAGTCTGCGCAAACTTCAGTAAAACTAAAAGGCGTCGCGCAAGTATGTGGTATTTATGCTTATACGCATAGTAATTGTTTTAATAAAAGGCGAAACAAACAATTTTAGATATCATTTAAAGGACACAAAATAGTACTTTGGTTCTAAAAAATAAATTGACATTAGTAAATATTTCATAATTGTAATATAACGTGAGTAATACCACGTTTTAGTGACTATTAGGAGAATAAAGTCTGTTAATGGGTTGGACAATTAAAATTGTGTCAGTTAAGAGTTATTTAGCCACGACAATAGTTTTGCTACCTTTATAATTTCCCATTAAAAAAGTTAAGAATGAGATGTACTTGAGGAAAAAAAATGAAAATACGGTGCAACAGTATCCTTGTAGTAAGAGCATTTTTATTTTGACTTTCTTTGCATTTTATTGAAAGGTGTGTCACTGCAATATAGCGTGATATGGATTGGCCGCTGGAATATGCATGAATTTATTATTAACGTTTTCAATCAGCCTTGATTTTTGTGTCTGTTCAAATAAGCACGTTCAAAAATCCGACTGAAAGTGTCTGTCTTATACAACACCGGGTACATATAACGTGTTGTCGTTCTCATATGGACATGATATTTGCCACTGGACGTTAAACCCTAATTCGTCAGCATCATCCAATTGGTTCTTTTGCTCTATTACTTAATTATATGTTGTTTACAAAACAGTAAAGTAAATGGAAAGAAGCGAATGCAGCTACATTTGATTATCTTAAGTTTTAATTCATTTTATTCCGTTTAGTTCCTTTCTACATAAGTGCAGAGGAGAACCGCAGTTGTGCGCTTGTAAAATTCTATCATTTGTCACCAATTTGAGTACATCGCAATCCGTTACTGTTTCAACCACCCCCTCCACCTGAAATTTTGTTTTGTTTGCACTTTACAATATTTACTGAGCTATCAGATTCAGCGGTTGACAGGAGGCCAATGTTTATCGGACTCCAGTCTCAAATAACATAAAGTGATATACAGTGAAAAAATTGCAAAGCATCTATATAGATATCGTTGTCTATACTATTAATTTAAAAATAAGGAGATGTGGAATAAATGCCAAAATTGTTTTAACAATCATCTTGGAGGGTCTAAATAGTAAAAAGGGTTTTTCATGTCTGTATTCTTAAACAATTGTTATTTTTCACTCTTTTTTAGCAATGCATCACTCTCTACTGTCCTTATCTATTCTTCTATATTCTGCGTCTCCATCCAGATTCTCGTGTATACCATGAGTGTCCGGATTGGGGGTGTTGTTTATTTCTGTATTCTTTAAATTTTTATGTCACTTTTCTCTACATTTTATTTATTTTTCTCATTATTCTTTCTCTATTCTTTATATTTTAGCATCCCAATATATTTTACTTACTGATGTTTAGTTACATTACGACGTTTATCTCTGATATAAAAAAGCAGATGTGGTATGATTGTCAATGAGACAACTCTCCACAAGAGACCAAAATGACACAGAAATTAACAACTATAGGTCACCGTACGGCCTTCAACAATGAGCAAAGCCCATACCGCATAGTCAGCTATAAAAGGCCCCGAAATGACAATGTAAAACAATTCAAACGAGAAAACTAACGGACTTATTTATATATATAAAAAAAATGAACGAAAAAAAATATGTAACACATAAACAAACGACAACCACTGATTCACAGGCTCCTGACTTGGGACAGGCACATACATACATAATGTGGCGGAGTTGAACATGTTAGCGGGATCCCAACCCTCCCCTAACCTGGGACAGTGGTATAACAGTACAACATAAGAACGAACTATAAAAATGATGTATATACTGCATACCAATGTAGATGACAAATTGGTGTCATTCATAACAACGAAACAGAATTCACATGATATATGCGACCATTCTTGAATGAAATTAATATTACTTTAATATTACACTTTTTGAAACCATTTTTATCAATTTCCAAT